AAATATTACGCACAAGGTTACATGTGGTAAAATCATGTTGTGTCTCGTATTCAGAGCCTTTTCCTTGAACATTACTACCACAGATCCCTTTTCTCTACTGGTTTTTCTCTCGCTTGTCTACACAAATCTGTTTTCTTGCTTTATATTTGAACATATCGCCACTGCTTTGTTCCACTGTAACTGGACCCTGACAGGGCCATAGGGAAGTAAAGTATATTAATCTGGGGTACTGTGTAAACTTATAAGATCTTCCTCGGGTTTTTCTGCATCACTACTATCCATAGCAGTCGATAAACATTCAGTTATTAACCAAGTTCAGAAGCAGAATAAAATTAAGCAATATTCAGTATTATAATATTCGCTCCATAGTTCAGTGAGTGTATAACTGAATCATTTCATTCTCGATCATGCCATGAAAAGCTTTTGCGAGCAGGCAAAAAAATAGGAAAGAGCAGCTTCTCAATTTTCACTGCCAAATAAGGTCAAATACAACGATAACATACCACCATCATGCACGCTCTGGTCGCGTGCAAAACTGAACTTTTGACTGCAAACTGCTTCGTTCTTTGACACTGTAAGTTATTCAGCAAACTTGATGTACTTATCTGTCATGTTGTATTTTAAATGACAGTTACTTTTGTTTTGTTTTTAGCCTACAGTTTATTGTATAGCATCATTCGAACTTGAAGTTACTTTGAACAAGTCTATTTGAACTTCAACATCCGCGATGTCGAGTTTTCCCTTTATGGTTTCAACTTGTTCAAAGTAACGTAAGTTCGAATGATGCTATTTCGAGTGCGTTCATTGCGATTTCAAATTCATATGACGAGATTTCGACATGGATAGTCTAATTTTTGAATTTGAAATTGTGTTTTATTTTCGATTATTTTTGTCCCCAAATGTACGCCATAAATTGGGTCTTATTTTATGGGAGGCCATATCAGTCAAAAGTGGTACGAAATTGCTCGATTGATGATGATTTGTATACTAGAAACACAATCGCTGTGGTCGAAAGAAAGATCGGTAATGAGCTCTGTGAAGTTCTAAAGGACCGAAAAGAAGAGGTGTGGATTGGGAATCCAGAATGTCAAATGCAACGATTGAAATTATCGATTTTGGCGAACAACTCAATCAAAGCGATCGTGATCTTGATCATAAATCGAGCATTAGTACAACTTTTGAATGATATAGCAGCGTCCCATATTATTTAATACATACACAATTGGTGATTCTGGTATTTTAAGCAGTCTGATCGGTTTAATTTGCAATTGGTTGACCTTCCCACTCAAAGTTTTGATTTTTGCTTTTCCACTCATTTGTATAGTTAATATTATCGCTGATGTAACATTCATAATTTTTTTCGAGGCTAAGCGGTACGCTATACTGCTATAAGCATGCAAGTAAACGAGAAAAGAAAATCTCCTGGCAGAAGCAGAAAGGCTCTTGGGTGGGGAGAGAGGAGCGTTGCGTGACGACACTCAAAACGGTTGTGTAGCAGTCTAGGGTTTACAAATGTAGTAAGAAACTCCAATTTGTCCACTAAGTTAGCGATTTCATGCAAAGGGCTCCAAATTTCCTCTCGGATGGACGAGTAATTTAGAACTCTGATGATTCGTTTTGTACTACCGTCTGCCATTTCAGCCGCACATGCTATTCCCCAAAAGCAGAGGAGAGGATCAACCCACTGAGTGTACAAGTGTTTTCAGCTAATTTCTTACTTTACGGATAAACGTTTGTCGATACAGCACAATGGCTTCCAACAAAGGCAAAGGGAAAAAGTCTTTCAATAAACGCAATAGGGATTCTAATGGTAGGTGATAGGTTATCATATCAGCTGTCATATATAGTGCTTATACAAACCAGCGGGGACAGCGTGAGATTTGGAAGTTGTACGCAGGCGGAGGAGAAGAAAAGTTGTGGCGACGAAGGCGGCCTAATCTAGGGGTGACTTAAGGCATGCTCCCCCCGAAAATGTTTCAATTTATGGTCTCAGAAATACCCTTCCAGCGTTTTCCTCGAGACATTTTCAGTAAATTAATAAGCAGGAAAATGCAGTAGTTAGTTGTTTGTTTTACCCATCTCTCGTGTTCTTGGTAAGGTACAGTGTTTAAGGAAAAAAAAAAGGCCAGTGACCCCATCAAAATTATGGAATAATAAACAGTAAAAGAGATACCGTATTTCCTCGAATAATAGCCGTCCCTCCATTAATCGCCTCCCTCGAATAATCGCTCCCCCACCCCTCTCGCCATCTTCTCTTTCTTTTAAAACCCCCTCCCTGTCAAGTTGAAGGGCAATCTGATCCAGCAAAACTGATCAGTGATGATTCAAGCTCTGTAAATTTATCAAAGAACCAAATTTGGAACACGTGAAAGCTCATGTTGAGTTTATTCGATGTGATAATTTTTTTTATTTAATGGGATAATAAAACAAAACATTTAGGGCACGGCTTTTATTGAGCAATATTTGAAATAATCGCCGGCTATTATTCGAAGAAATACGGTACTAACACAAAGACGCCAATATAGTGCGAAAAATGTATCAGTAATCCCGATTTAATGATAAAAAAAGGATTTTTAAACAGGCGTATGTGCGTATATGGACGCTACGCTCCTGCAAACTTGCAGGACCGTTCTACGCTGCAACGTTACTGTGTCGCACTGTATGTGAAAAGTAAAGTGTTCTTCATTCAATTTAAAAAATGTGTCAATTCATTTTAGGATGACCTATTTTAAGGATTGATGAAGTAGATACATGAATAGAAAGTGACAAATTGGGATCGCGAAAATTACTTTTGATTAAGATGGGATCTATAATTAGTTACACAATAGACCATAGTGGGATAGGGGCTCTGAGAGGCCAGCGCACATACTGACAGCAAGGGGAGAAATCACTTTACAGTGGATAAGTATCGGGGAAACCAATTGCAATAACTGGGCAGAGATCATGGATAGCACTGACGACAAAGGCCAGTTCAAAAGTCGTACATGGCCCGCATCGACCGCCAGGACTTTCTTTTTTACAGACTAGGGAGCTAGTCCCGGTGTTAGGCCTTTTTGAGAGCATAAAACAGTTGTACAACTGTAATCCACTGTTGTCCTTTATGTACCAAATTATCTAATGGGGTTGTTCATTCTGAAATCATGTTTCGCGATATATGTTTATAATGCATTTTAGAAACCGACGAACCACGGGAACAAGCCCAAGAAGGAAACGAAAACCCAGCAACAATTCAAGGCGCCGGCGGGACTTCTGCAAATGCAAACCGAGGTAACTGATGTAACGCACCTTAAACAAAACATGAGTTCAAAAGGAAGAGACCGGCATCAGGGCCAAACTTTAAAACAGTGTGGATTGTTTGGATTCAAGAGACTGAATATCCATAACCCGTCTTGCTGGATTTTGGGTGTAACTAAAATCTGCTATTTGTTTAGAGGTTCTGTAAAAGTAACAATTACTGAACTCGGCTTTCGTATCATCTGAAGAATTATGGAGATCGAGGTGGGCGTTTCCGCCTCAGCGGTTTTATTATTCATTCCAAATAATTCCTAGTTTAAAAACAGGCTAAAACATGCTTGTAAACCTCTATCGATGTTAAGTTCATCTTCGATAGTACATGTTTATCGGCAAGTTTAGGAGACTAGGGACTAGATATAAAGGGTTGTTCAGTGCTGCAAATATTCTACAAATAGCAGAGATTGTCTTCTAGCTGTTTATGCTGTGTTCTTAGCCAAACGTTCGCCTATTTCTCCCTTGTGAAACGAGTAAAATATTCCGCCATTTTGTATCACTACCAAAATAACTGAACCTCGTCCCCAGATTTTCTCGGTTAACGGTTCAATAATTTGGCAATTTTGCTGCACCATTGACGTCATCGGTTCAATATCGCTAAATTCTTTCAAATTTGGTCAACGGTAGCTGGTTATGATGAACATGCGTATAATTTAAGCCAATCAGAAACAGAGAAATATTTTGAATGAATCATGAATAACAGCGGTTATCGCATCTTAGAGCTGCTCTCTCTATACTTAAATGCTTGAGGCTTTACCTCGGAGTGAATAACATACCGAGAAAACCTAGGCCACTTCTTTGTCAAAGACAGTGAATAGCGGCGCTGTAACTTTTGAATAGAAATTCTAGAGTTGGTGACATTTGCCAACCATTGGTCTTCATATACCAGTGAAAGACGTTTATAGAGTTCGATAGGAATTATGTGCGAGTATCTATGCAGAAGCTCGTGTTTCTCTGGGTTACCGATATGCAGAGTGTCCTTCAGAAGAGTAGAACATAACGGGTATTTCCAACTCAAGCACTAAACATTTAGTTCTCAAATCCCGCCCCGTGATATTCGTCATTTTTTTTCGTTTTAGTGTGTATTGAGTGTCTCTTTCTTTCATTCGAAGTTGACCATCTCAACAAACAAGGTAACAAAAGACGCGGGCGAGCAGCACCGTTGAGGGGTGGAAAGGAACGGGTGACGTCATCAAAAGGAAGAGGAAAGCATTCAGGTGAGAGAAAATATAAACTACGCGTTCCTGCTTGGAACAAACTCCTCATACGACATTTGATTGTTTCTAACTCCTGAAATTCACTAATTTTATACGCTGCACTTTTTGAGGCTTAAGTATGCCAAGTACAAAGCATTGAATCCATAGGATTAACTTGCAATGTTCAGGAAGTCCATTGATTCTCCATAAGTCAAAAGCAATCTGCAGTAACCTTCGACAGGAATACAGTATGTATTTGTTATCTTATATCTGCACAATCCTTCAATGTACTTAGTTAATACCTCCGTTCAGTCTGACAAGCCAGGACCTAGCAAACTGGTCTGTACAAGTCTCTTTGATTCCCTGGAAGAAGGTTGAGTACACTTTGCTTGTGATGAAGTTATGAATATATAAAAATTATAAATGTGAACTGCGGGGTGAAGAATTATGTAAAAGTAGACCATCCCAGATCATCACATTGCTTGTGAGTCACTTAGGAAATAATTGCTTTTTTAAAATACAGATAAAACAAACCAAGCTCAAAGACCTGGAAGACCAGCTCCCGTGAACAAAAATCCTGGTTCATCGGCACAACAGAATAGACGGCCCTCCGCACATGAAGTGTTGCGAGAGAAAAACGCCTTCTTCGACCCGAAGGCTTTAAAATCAAAGGATAGTACAGAGATAGTACACATGCTAAACGAGGGCATACTTCATTTAAAGTTCCTTCTTCGAACAAAAGATAAGAAGCACAACAACGACGAATTCATATGTGATCTTACTTCTACTCTGGGAAAGGCCTGCAGCGTTCCACCAGGCGAAAATCTTAACAAGATTCTGGCCACACTTAAAGGCTCCGCTTTCTTTAACTCAAAAATTCCCAGTTTACTTGATCGCCTTCAAGAGTCAACGGCCTTAAATGACCAATTATCTCAACAAAGGTTCATTGAGCATCTCATTGAAATCTTCATGAAGTACCTGACACATTTGCCTAGTTCATATGCTGACCTACCTTACGTCCAGTTGAAAGCAGCCTTAGATCAGTCAAGTGTTGATAAGAAAGAAGAGCTACAGGCAAAGTTAGATGAATTTAAGCAAGCCAGAAATGACGTCATCAGAGGAGAAAGACAGAGGGATGGGAAACGCTTTGTTAACAGGGCGGGGGAAAAGCCACCAAACGATTTTAGAGACATGCCAATTTGTCCCGAGACCAAAGAAATCACAAGTCAAGAACGATCTTTTTTACGCAAGAACATTTCAAAGGGTAGGTACGACAACGCCGAGCACTACCTTGATGTTCAATTTCGGCTGCTTCGAGAGGACTTTCTTGAGCCACTAAGGGAAGGTATTCGTGAAATTGTCCTCAATATACCAAGACATCAGCGCAAACAATTGATGAAAAACTACCGCAGCGTACAAATTTCTTAGATACCAGCAGGTGGGCACATTCCAAAAGACTCTTATATGGTTCATTCCTATGTCTTTCAAAAGACAACTTTAAAACGATGCTTTTCGCGACGGTTTGTGGTCGCGATCCAAAGAAAGTGAAGAAGGGACGAATTGAGGTCCGATTTATCGAAAATCAAGACGTTTTTGGGATCGAGAGAAGCAACTGCGTTCACCAAATGGTGGAGTCTCCCGCATATTTCGAAGCATATCGCTACGTTCTTAAAGGGTTACAGGAATTAGACGAAACAACCTTGCCATTTCAAAAGTATCTGGTCGAGTGCAGTGGAGAAGTTGACCCACCAGAATATCTTAGGCGCGATAAGAGTGAGGAGCCAGTTTATTATGACCTTTGCAAGGCCCTTCAGATGCTGTATTTACCAAACACCACATCAACTGTACCTGTTCTGAGGCCTGAAGCTTGGCCCTCCGATGAAGGACTTCCTCTCAATAAATCGCAACTCGAAGCGTTAAAGACAGCAATTACAACAGAATTTTCTGTTATCCAGGGTCCACCAGGGACAGGAAAAACTTACGTTGGTGCCAAAATTGTGCGTTGCTTGCTCGATAACAGACGTGCTTGGGATCCTCATCAGACATCACCAATGCTGATGGTTTGTTACACAAACCATGCGCTTGATCAGTTCTTGGAAAAGGTGCTAGAATTTTTACCTAGCCGAAAAATAATTCGTGTCGGAGGAAGGTCCAAGAGCGATAAACTTCAGAACTGCAACCTGAAAAAGTTTACTTACAGATACAGACTGAACGGCAAACGTGAAGAAGTGAGGGAGAAGTTGCGGCAAAACGACAAAGAAATGAAAATGTTAAAGCAACAGCTTGCAAAGGCTGACCACAAACTTTTAGATTTCGAGGACGTGGAACAACTAATCAATCCGGCACATTTACAGCAGCTGTGTAATGCTAAATTTCCATCCAAGGTGGCTAACGAGAGTCGCACTCCGAGCAACACTTTCAAGTTGTGGCTATGTAACAACAAAGAGATGGCTTGCAATCAAAAGGCAGAGGCACCAACCCATGCAAAATGTGTTGAAAGTGAAGAAAAGGAATTGTTTTATGACCCAACTATGTTCACAGAACCACAAGATGGAAGTGAAACATCCCTTGGAGAACCTTTAGCAGCAGTTAATGTAACGGCATTTGACGTAGCTAAACCCGATTTTCAGCAGGCGATGAAATTCTCAGAACCATTAGAACCTTTAGCAGCGGTTAATGTATCAAACGAAGTAGCTAAAGCCGATCTTCAGCAGAAGATTAGCATCTCAGAGCAAAGAGAGGTAAACACAAACTTTTATGAGCGTGAATTACTAAGTGATTTGTCAGAGGAACAAAGAAGTACCTTCCTGAGTGAACAGATGGAAATCAGGGCTTCTCAAGACGTTTCTCAATTAAACAACAGTTATTTGGAACATACAGCCTCAAAAGAAGGTGTTGATTTCATTCAAGGGACTGAAAACCTAGAAGTAGAGGGAAAACCTAGTGATGGAAATGCTGATAAAAAACGAGAGGCGGATGAAGAAACTATTGCAATAGAGAGGGAAGCGGATTTGATACAGCAACAAAGATGGATAGAGGGTGATGAAGATCTTCTGCTACCTATATCAAAAGAAACATGTGGCTTAATGAGTGAAGAACAACAAAAACGAGGGACAAATAAGGCAAATGACGAAGACGAATGGACACTTGTCACGCATAAGAAAAAAGGCCAGTCACATTTCTGGATGCCAAATGACGCAGATAATTCTAAAGAGGACGGCAAATTGGATGAGGAAACGGAAGGAACAACGTCTTCAAAGAGAAAGAAGAAAAGAAGAAAGAAAAACAAGAAAACGAAAGTTATTACTGAGGAAAAAGGTCAGTCACATTTCTGGACGCTAAACGACGGGGAAAATTCTGCAGAGGACGGCAAAGTAAATGATGAGGAAACGAGGGAAACAATCTCTTTAAAGAAAAACGTTATTACGGAGGATATTAACTCTATACGTAAAGACCTAAGCAAAAGAGAAATGATGTCCACCGAGGAAGCGTTTGGCATTCAAAGCATCTGGGATATGTCACAATCAGATCGACTCCGACTATACCTCTTCTGGATTGAAAACTACCGTGAACACTGCAGGGTAGAAATTCACCATGCTGAACGGGCATATGAACAGCTTTGCGAAGAATTAAAGGAAGTGCAATTTGAGGAGGACGAACAAGTCATCCGTCAGGCGACCGTTGTTGGAATGACAACCAGTGGGGCGGCGAGATATCACTCAGTTCTTCAAAGGATAGCTCCTAAAATCGTTGTTATCGAAGAAGCTGCCGAGGTGATGGAAGCCCATATTATCACTTCTCTTTCGCACAACACCAAACACACAATTCTCATTGGAGATCACAAACAACTCCGCCCCAAAGCGACTGTTTACGAATTGGCCCAGAAGTACAACCTGGAAGTCTCACTCTTTGAGCGAATGGTGTTGAACAGCATGGATTGTAAACGCTTATCTATACAGCATCGCATGCGTCCTGAGATTGCCACACTTACAAAAAGAATCTATGATCATGAAATTGTAGATCACGATTCAGTTTGCAATTTCCCGCCAATATCTGGCCTTTGCCACAATCTCTTCTTCATTGATCACTGCCAACCCGAAAAACTAATAGGAGGCTTACAAAGTTACTCTAACCATCACGAGGCTGAATTCTTAGTGGCCCTTTGCGAATACCTTCTACTCCAAGGATACGAACGAAAGCAGATCACTATTCTAACCATGTATACTGGTCAGTTGCTGCTTCTTCAAGAGAAAATGCCACGACGAGCTTTCGAAGGAATTAAAGTCTGTGCAGTTGACAACTTTCAAGGTGAAGAAAACGACATCATTCTTTTGTCGCTAGTAAGAAGCAACTCTGAAGGTCGCATTGGCTTTTTAGGCGACTCCAACAGAATCTGTGTCGCGTTGTCACGTGCCCGCCAAGGCTTTTACTGCATTGGAAACTTCAATCTACTGACAAGCCAATGCAAGCTTTGGAAGGAGATCTGTGATGATTTAAAGACAAAAGAAGCCATCGGTGACAATCTACAATTGATTTGTAAGAGACACAACAATGTAACGAATGTAAGATGGGCACGCGAGTTGAAACAGTGCGAACTTGGAGGTTGTACAATGCCGTGTGGAGACCGCCTAGAATGTGGCCATGCGTGCGAAAAGCTATGTCACGTCTCGTACGTTTACCACGTAGTGTGCTACAAAATGTGCTTTAATTCGTGTCCCGGTGGTCACAAATGTCATGACATGTGTCATTACCCAAGAGAGTGTCCCAAGTGCCCCGTTCTTGTGCGAAAGACGCCTGCCTGTGGTCACGAACAATCCTTAAGGTGCAGCGTTGACCCAGATGACATCTCGTCTGGATTCAAATGCGAGAAGAAGGTCATAAAAATTCTCCCGTGCGGACACAATAATCTTATGAAATGTTACAAAGATCCCATCATTTACAGCGACTGCACCAGCAGTTGCACTAAAGTTTTGGACTGCGGCCACACTTGCTCTGAAAGATGTACACAGGAATGCCAATGTGCCACCATGATAGAAATTCAATTGCCATGTAACCACAGGAAACAAGTATTGTGCCGAGAAAAAAATAATTCAATCGTGTGTAAAGAAAAGTGCGAGCGAGCCTTGAATTGTGGGCACGCATGCCCTGGAATCTGCCATGAAGAATGTGCAAGGAATTTATGCAAGATCGAAGTTTTGAAAGACCTTCCATGTGGCCACCAAAAAATTGTTCGTTGCTACCAAGATCCCCGAAACGTATTTTGTTCTTCTGTATGTCAACGACTTCTGAATTGCGGTCATAAGTGTCCTTTGCTGTGTGGTCGTGTGTGCCAGGAAATTCGGTGTAAAGAGTTGTGTCAAAAGAGATGCCAAAGAGACCACCCCTGTCAAAGGCAATGCCACTTTGGTTCACCCTGTTATGAGTGCACAGTGCCAGTGAATGCGACGTTCCCCACATGTGGTCACAACGTTAAAGTGCCCTGTTTTATTAACCCAGCTTCACTGACATGCAATCAGCCATGTGAAAGATTGAGAGTCTGTGGACACCCCTGCAAAGACATATGCGGCATAGACTGCGAAACTCGACCATGTCAGGCACCTGTAACCAGGCTATTATCATGCAAACATGTTGTGCCTCTTGCTTGTCACAAAAATACTGAAACGTTCATTTGCAAAACTAAAGTTGAAGTACTTTTGCCATGTGGGCATAAGACTTGGTTGGAATGTCATGTCGTAAAAGCAGGGTTTAACGATGCTTTATGCATAGAAAAGGTAGGAAACGAATTGCGTTGCGGCCATAAAGTCAACCTTCCACAGTATTGCTTCCAAGAAAAGGTGGAAATCACACTTTTTTGCGGACACAAGAAGTTTACAACATCCTCTAGGAAGCAAGAACAATTTCAGAGCGGAAGATGTAACGCAAAGGTGAAGAGAAGACTACCTTGTGGTCATGAAAAGGAGATGCAATGTTCAGATAAAGCAGACAGAGTTTTCTGCGATAAACCGTGTGAACGCATTCTCCCATGCAAACACCCATGCGGAAAAAGATGTGGTGATGACTGTGCAAGCTTTAGATGTGTTGTCGAGGTTAAAAAGGTTTTGAGTTGTGGGCGCCATGATGTCAGTTGCCTTTGTTCTGAGGATGTTTCCCAACGTATTTGTTCAAATCCGTGCACTCGGAGTTTGTCTTGTGGCCACCAGTGTCCTGGAAAATGCTATGAGATATGCAGTGAGTACAAGTGCCAAATGTTGGTTGTTAAGAATCTACCTTGTGCAGGAAACCACTTTCTGAAAATGTTTTGTAAAGATGACCCCAATATCATGGCATGTCGAGCGCGTTGTGATCGCAAACTAGAGTGTGGTCATCGATGCCCTGGATTTTGTAGTCAAGCCTGTGGCGCAATCATTTGTAGACGTAAGGTGGTGAAGGAATATGGCTGTGGCCATAAACAACAAGTACGTTGCTTTGAACGTAAAACTGTTATTTGCAAAGCACCTTGTGCACGTCAAGAAAGATGCACACACAAGTGTAAGGGGTTCTGCGGGGAGCCCTGTTCCAAATATTCCTGCCAAGTTCCTTTGGTTAAGACCTTGCCGTGTGGTCACAAGGTTAAGATGCCTTGTAGCTTCTCTGTTGATGATGTACAATGTCCTGCTTCTTGTCAAGCTCAGCTGCCGTGCGGTCACGAATGTACTGGAACTTGTTGGGAGTGCAAGCAAAGGGGAACACATGAAATATGCCAACATCCTTGTAGCCGAGTTCTCGTTTGTTCACATCGTTGTCAAGCAACGTGCGGCAGGCCATGCCCACCTTGTGTTAGAAAATGCAGTCGCCGTTGCCCTCACAGTAAATGCCCCAAAGAGTGTTTACAACCATGCAGACCATGCATAAAACCATGTACTTGGATTTGCCCCCATTACCAGTGCAATAATCCATGCGGAGAGGAATGCGATCGCCCTCGATGTGACGCGCCCTGCCCCAAGAAGCTTCCTTGTCGCCACCCGTGCATTGGTCTGTGTGGAGAGAACTGTCCCACTGTGTGCGCTATTTGCCACTCTAAAAAGCTCTCGTCCATGATTGGCCAAGGAAATTTTAAAGCAACAGAAGGTACAAGATATCTGCAGCTTTTAGATTGTGGTCATATTGTAAAGGTTCAAGAGATGGACGAATGGATGCTACGTGATATGGGAAGTGATGTCAATCACATTCAGTGTCCTAGATGCTCTACACCGATTACGTTCAGTTATCGGTATGGAAATATCGTGAAGAGGACCCTGAGAAGCATGGAAAATGTTAAGAATCAAATACGTGAAATTGGAAATGAAACCACCAGGTTTACCAGAGAGCTTCTTGGAAAATTGCGTCTCCCTCCAAAAGGAATTCTGACTTTAGCTGGCAAACTGTCAGGACTTCTAGGCTCAACGGCGTTGTATAACGTACAAATGCACCACATTCCCTTTGTTTTTTCTCTGAGAAACAGCCTTCTTATCATCCATCAAATTGAGAAAGCGTTTCTCATTTTGCAAGCAGTTGGAAAATGTCAAGATCAGCTTCAGGTAACGGATCACTCGAGAGCCATCAAAGATGCTTTAGAAAAGATCTCAGATTACCTCACGACCCCTCAGTTTGACTTGGCAACTTTGAGACAATTATATGAACATACAAGAACGTTTACCATTTTCGCTTCCATTTTAGAAGCTCAATGCCAAGTCATCACTTGCGGCGGATCTTTTTCCAGCACTGGGGTATCATGTTTAAAAAATGCTCAAGAAAGGTTCGAATTATTCATTAAAGGAAACAGTAATATCCTTCAAAATGATTGGCTAGAAAAAATCGCAGCTTCTTTGAGGAACGAGGTCGGCCTTCTACCCCTTCCACCCGAGGAACCCAAGACTGAATTCAAGAACTTCCCAGGCTATAACACCAGTGTGTGGAAATTGTGCAAACTACATGGTCAAGTGTATCTCACCACATCATTTATGCGTGAAGGAGAGAATGTGAGCGAGATAAATGGTTGCAGACAATGCGATGGCACAGATGACACTGACGAAAATAGTGGATAGGAGGCGGAGGAGTGGCAAGTAATCACACAGTTATCGGAGAGGAAAACTGTTTTAAGTACAAGTTGCAGTCACGATGACGGCTTTTTAGAAAACCCTGCAAATGAGAACATTCTCATCAACCTAACAAAGTTTTTACATCCAAACTGTAAACTAGTGGTACCAAACTGATTATTCAAGCCTCCACAGGGCTAGACCAACCTACCGTAAAATTGCGAAAATAAGCCCCTCCATGTATAACCCCTCTAAAATATAGCCCCCAAACTCATAACGCAAAAAACCCTCCGATAAATCGCCCCTTCAAATACAGGCCTCCGGGGACTTGTACTCGGAAACTTCCCTCAAATTCAAAATAAAGCAAAGCAAAAACTGTAAGGTAACACATAAATGTCTGCATTTGGCAAATAACTGTTACGTGTGCCAAATGATTGCAGTCAAAAAGTGTCACAATATTTTGCTGTTTGCGTAGTTCACTCTTCAGTCTTGGCTTGCATTTCCTCAGTGCACATAAACAAAGTAATTGCATGGGTGAGGTTTAGAAAGATCTACGTCCTCAAGGCGAGTTTTAGTAAAAACTTGCTGCAGATTCAGGGCCGTAGCTAGATTTTTGTAACAGGGAGGCATTATCGCGACTGCTGAAGGCACGAGTCTTGTAGGGGGTTCTGGGGGTATCCTCTCCCGGAAAATTTTCAAATTTAGAGGGTCCGAATGGCTTTTTTCAGTACTTGCCATGACATATGTCTCCGAAAAATCGAACTCGAATAAGTGCTTATTTCCGGGGCCCTATTAAATTGAAACGCACCGTATTTCCAAGGACTAGTGCACTAAACATTTCACAATACTGCGTGATGAAACCTATAAGAAAATTTCTCCAGTATGATTTTTGTTCCTCTGGTATATTTAAATGGTTTCACGATGAAGAAGCATCATTACGAGGCCACCAGAACGTGTCCGTAGCTTCAGATGACGCAGAGAAGAGAAGGATCTTTCACGAGAAGCACTACCAACTGGTATGGTGAGGAAAATTGTAAGGACTTTGTAGAGTGCTGGGAACTATTTGCACTCACCGTGGACCAACCAATCTCTGGGCCGTGAAAATGGCAAACTATTGAAAGTGACTGCAATCAAAATAACTAAGTCTCAAGATAACAAATCCATCCACAGACTTAATTTGTCTGGCTCAACAGGTCCAGAGGGGGGGAGGGGGGCGGGTAGCTCCTGCCCCCCTGCTAGCTACGGCTCTGAAATTACTGACATGAATTTCCTTCCAACTATACGCTAGCCCAATTGAGATGCATATTTCCCTCCTAGTATAAGCCTAGCTGATTTTGAAACGCAAATTTTCGTCTGTATATATAAGCCCTTCAAAAAGGGCCTTTGGAAAATATAAGCCCCGGGGCTCATTTTCGGAATTTTACGGTATACCATTTATGATTTAACCGGTTATAATTCAGTATTGTCTTGACAAAATGACCCTCTTGCATGAGTAACCTAACAGTTTTAATCCAAAGTAAAGTACAACAGTAAAATTTACCGCGGGATCACGCATTACCAAAGCCAGACGTCTCTTGGTAAAGGCTACGCAGGGCTAATCCTTAACTAAAATAGTAAAGTGAGAAAGTTAGTTAATTACTATGACAAAAATAAACAGAAAAAATAAGCAAATAAATAAATAGGTTACACCAAGAAAGAAAGCTGAAAGTAACAAGCAATAGTATAACAGTTAAGTATAAACGGGCGGTTCAGAGGTGATAATGATTTAAAAAGAAATACACAGGATGATTGCTACGTACTTTAATCGTTATTTCAGAACGACCGAAACGATGGTTATTAGGTAATTCAGCGGGTTGATCCGATCGCTTCTAGAATTGAACTTCCAACATGTAGCATATAACGGCAGGAAATCGAATGGCTAAAAAATGAAGAAAGCAGTTTCTTTCAGGAACAAAGTCGTCATCTAAAATTGGAATTGGAACCAATAGTACCAGATTGTGTAAACGTGTTTACTATAGTTGTAGCTTTCGCCTTGATTGGGAAAGACTCCCAGCTGTCATGTTGCTATTACCATAAAAGGTCCAAAGCAGGACATTACTGTGGTGCCTTATTGTTCGCACCATGTAAGGGAATCTTGCTAGTGGAATCTGGAATCCGGGAAAATCAGGAATCCTGGACTTTTAGAATCCACAATACCACTCAAGGAATCCGGAATCCTAGTTCCACTGACAAAGACTGGCATCCAGTACCTGGAATCCGGAATCCAAGACTGCCTTGAATTCCCTTACATGGGTATGGGGCTATAATGTTTTGGAAATTTTTGAAGCAATGTGGAGAATGCAAAGACGGTTTCTGTTTTATTTTGTCTCTTCCTCTTGTTCTCCTCTCTTGCGTCAACAGATGCGTTTTATGGAGGTAGAGGAGTAGGAAAATGATCTGGCATATATAAGGCAGGATATTTTCAATGATATTCAATTAATTTTTTGTTATCAAGATGCAGTACAACGTAACTATCGAAGTTGTATTAAATGAATCCTCAAAACAGCAGTAGTCTTAGCTTCAAGATAATTTGTTTTTAGCTCAGCCACAAAAACGTACATTCATCAAATCTGACAAAAACCAAGCGCTGGAAACGGCAGGGGCCACGAGCACTTCCCTTGTGCCCAAACAACAGCATTCTTCACAGGCAGGTGTATATAAGATCGATTTTCCTACGAATTTTGAATATAACAATGAAATGTCTTACAAATCAGTCATCAAAAACCGGAGACTAAAAGATAGTATTTCTGGTGTTTTGATAGCATTTACTTCTTCTTTTTGTAGTTATCGTGCTATGGATGCACACGCATAACGTACACTGCCTCAAATTTCGCGGGAAAAAGTGCTCAAAAATGATACTAAAAATAACTGGATCTGTGAAAACGCCATTGCACAAATTTATGGCAGTTGCACCCTCTGGCTCATTAGGCTCCTACTAAAACCAGCTTTCATGTTTAACACCCCATTCGACCATGGACAAAAAAAGGAAAGAATTAGGGTTTTTTATTCTTTGTAAATTTAGTTGAAAACTGAATAAAACTTAATCTTAACCTGTCTTTGTTTTAGTACGCATCCGACTACTTCGAGTCGTTATTACTCCCTCAGTAATGACGTTGTTGAGAGGAGAAAACGACTCGAAGCAATCGGATGAATTTCAGGCTACTCGTATCCATGATCTACTGCGTAGACTCCCAACCGTCACGTGATGAAGAATGGCCCAAAAAGAGGGAAGAAATGAAAAGTGGAATATTCCTGTGAAGGAATACAATGATTTTTCATTGATGATGAAAGAATCCATTTTCATCTCTGTAATTTAACAAAAGCAAAAGGACTGACAAGCATTTCTTTTTACACAAAACTCACATTCAAATCCAATCTCAGACGCACAAAACACGCTTCACCCTGTTCTGTCGGGTTTCCGAGGGAAAATATCACAACAGAGACAACATTTCTTTGACCGAAGTGATATATGATGCAGAAAATAAAAGTACTCAATTTCAGCATTACTTAAGGTTAATTATCGATACACACACCATTGAAACACTTCCAAGTCCAAGAGTACTTTAAAAAGTGACATGTTCACGTTGCTGTGCAACGAGTGACGTCCTCGGGCACCTGTTACCCTGCGTAGCATGGCGGTTTTGGTTGGGTGCGCAAAGTAAATAAAAGCGGGCGAGGGCAGAGAAACCGCGAGGAGATTTGGGCCTCGCAGCTCGGCCTCTCGTTCGCGCTCGCTTTGCCAGCGTTTTTGTGGCTTCGCCGCTCAGTAGTGCTCTCAAAAAAACCGCCATGCTACACAGGCTAGGCACCTGCAAGCCGTGAACACAGCCTTAGCAACACTCGTCAAGATCATCAAAACCACTGTAAAGACACTGAACTCACTTTCTGTGTACTAGTCAAACAACATAAAATCCAGGCTGGTCACCACCGTAATTTGGACTTTTTCTACGTACAGTATACAGGGGCACCCAACGACCGAATGCTTCAACGCACGCCAGAAGTGTCTCAAATGATTTTCACTGTGCTTGAGAAGCCTCTTTGGTTAATTTGGAGTTGCTCCAAAAACTATTTATCTGTTCCGATGTCTTGGAGAACTGTGGTTGTCACGAAAGTCTTAGGTGGCTTTTTCGTCTCATTCGCAAGTGTTAGCTACCCTTATGGGTCCGGTCGAAAGTTTGAGGACATGAAGTAGCCTTGCTTTCATTAGAAAATTATAAGGGACGTATTGTCTCTATACCGAAATTTTTAGGAGACCTTTTTGAACAATAATCGTAATATCTTGGTATTAAAAAGGGCAATAGCACAACTTCCGAAAATAGTAGAAAGCTATTAGAAAACCTCCGGATATCTTAGACGAATGGAACGGTTATCCAGAAATTTTAAGCTTTTCTCAAGCTTAGAAATTTCTAGACAATATTTGCTCCTTCGAACAGTTATTGTGCAGAAAAAAGTCGCCGGGTGCCCCTGAGTATAAGCCCGACCATTCGCAGCCTACTTCCTAACTCACCAGAGAGACAAAACCGAAGGCCATTTTTTGGCTCTCTTTTTGTGTGTGTTTTATTTGACTGGGGAAAGAATTGGAGTTTTGGAGAGGTAAGGGTGGGAGGTGTATAGAGACTCAGGATAGTCAGCATTCCACTGTCTAGGAAGTCCAAACCAAAGATCTTCTCATAAAAAAGCTCATTTCTCAAGTGACACCACTTGTACGTTTGACATTTTTAAGGCGATCTTTGTTTCTCCATCAGCAATGACTGCGAGATCTCAATGCTGTGTAACAGTGTGTGTATAAAATGGTGATAAAATCATGACATGATGACGTGAACTTCCGTTACCCTTAAAACGGTCACGCACGCATTCTACCACGTTTTCGACACAAAAACATATTAATAGTTAAAAAGATTATGGCCGATGAAAAGATGGCGATAGTTATAGACAACAGCTCTTGTACTACAAGGGTTGGTTTTGGTGGAGAAGATACCCCACACGTAACGTTTCCCTCTATCGTTGGTCATCCTAAAGACTATGACCCGAGGGTTGGCAAAAGTTGGCTACACTGCTCCATCGGCGACGACGCACTCGCGAAGAGGAATGATCTGGATTTGTTATATCCTATCAAAAATGGCATCGTAACAGACTGGGATGAGATGCATTGGGTAATGAAGCTTTTTGAAAAAGAGTTAGAGGAGCTGTGGAACGAACTCAGTAATCTCAAACAGTGGGAACCGTCACCAAACTGAGTGACGAATTAAATAACTGCTCAAAACATGAAAAGAAGACCTATTAACACAGCAAATAAAAACAGGAGAAACGTATGGGGAAACTTGAAGAAGATTGAAACGGATTAGTTGTTGTGGTTTTCGAACACTTCTAAGCCTTACAGTCTTTTGTTGTTTGTATCGTTTCATATGATGCTTGGGAGACATGTTTGACACGGAGCTGTAATTTTGCCATTCACAAGTTATTTCGAAAGTTCCATGGCGACTAAAGAAGTGTAATTGGCAATATTAACAAAATGAACAAGACAACCGTGACACAGCCCCTTTAATTTCTTGGCGTAGATTATTGTAGACTTATTTTAACATGCATGGCTTTGTTATCTACGATGCAGATTTGGGATCATATTTTTAACAAGGCGTTTGCTGCAGAAACCAAGGGCAGTCCCGTTCTACTGTCAGAGCCCCCTTTGAGTCCAAAAGCTAACAGAGAAAAGACTACTGAGGTAAAAACCATGATCATGTATATAGTCTGAAATGTCACACGTCTCCACCCCGTGGAGACGTGTGACATTTCAGACTAGATCATGTCTCTACTTGTCTTATAAATGTATATGAGGACTCCAATCAAATTATTCCGGGTTCTATTTAGCCCGGATATTGGGCAAACGTCAACATAAACAAGAAATATAAATAAATATAAGTCAGACCGCTCATGTTTGAAAATTCAATGATAAATTGCTATGGATCTGCGTGACGCAAACGTACGGCATTATCATCACACAATCTATCCCTCATGAGCTTGAAGACTGCGTGACAAGCCTATATAAAACTACAAAAAGCCATCTCTCAACAATGGCCCTAAACGCAAATTAGAACGCACTCTTTTAAAGTGATGTACCTCCTCCCTCAAGGGTTCTTGAACTAAAAAGTACTTGTTATTCACGCCACCCTTGCAGATTCTCTTTCCTGTCCAATTCTCTTCTTTTTCCATTTTCAAATAAAATGAACAGTTACTAAAACAATACTACACGTTTATCATACTCGAAATCAACATTATTGTTAGTTTTAAGGGAACCTGTTTTAGAGGACACGTTTTGTTTTAAAAGAGATCACTAGAGCATTTCAGGGTGTCTGAGAAGTACAGGTTCTAATTTATTTATTTATTTATTCATCATTATTATTATCTATTGAAAACAAAGTTTGAATATGTATCCCTTTCTGTGATCAGGTTATGTTCGAGACATTTGATGTGCCAGCTTTGTACATGGCAACTCAGCAAGTGTTAGCACTCTACTCTGCTGGTCGTACAACTGGTCTTGTATTTGACATCGGAGATGGTGTCAGTCATGCAGTTCCAGTAGATGGAGGTTACTCTCTTCCACGTGCTATTGTTCGCCTTGAATTGGCTGGTAGACACGTGACCGACCACCTTGGAAGTCTACTGAAACATCAGGGTTGCTCATTTACAACCACAGATGAGTTAGAGATACTGCGCAAAATTAAAGAACAATTTTGCTACGTTGCTACAGACTTTGAGCTTGAACTCAGCACTGCTGATTCCAACACAACAAGCTATGAACTTCCTGATGGTCACTGTGTTGATGTCGGTTCTGAGAGATTCCAGGCACCTGAGTGTTTGTTCAAGCCTTCCCTAATTGGAAAGCCAGATATGCCAGGAATTCACAAGATCACTGTCGATGCTATTAGAAAATGTGGTGTTGAATTGCTTGCAGATTTGTTTCGAGGCATAGTGCTGACCGGAGGCTCGAGTTTGTTCTCTGGGATACAGCAGAGGATGGAGAAAGAAATACAGTCTCTGGAAGTTTCACTTACTAGAGCTCGAGTCAGTGCCACTCCTGAATGTCAACTGGCTTCATGGATTGGAGGCTCAATCCTGGCCTCAGTCACATCATCCTCCAAAGACATGTGGATTTCAAAAGAAGAATACGATGAGACTGGTCCGACTATTGTTCATCTTAAATGCTTCCAATGACCAAATTTTGCTTTTATATCGCTGTATCAACCCTTGAGTTTTTTAGTGCTGTTCTAATCAGCAGGAGAGGTAAGGGATGGCATGTGAACTGGGTGGCGGAAATTAAAAATTGTTTATAGCATGTATCTGGAGATATAATGAAGTAAAGGTAAAAGTGTACAGTATATGAACAACACACCGTAAAATTCAGAAAATAAGCCCCTGGGCTTATATTTTTCAAAGGCCCTTTTTGAGGGGCTTATTTTTGGAGGGGCTAATATCCGGAGGGGCTTATCTATGGAGGGAAATTTGCGTTTCAAAATCGATAGGGCTTTCCTTATAGTTGGAAAGAAATTTACCATTTTTTCTTTGTTTTGCTTTGTATTTGAGGGTAACTTCCAAGTACAAGCCCCCGGGGGGGCTTGTATTCAGAGGGGCGATTTAACGGAGGGTTTTTTGTGTTACAAGTTTGGGGGGCTTATGTGGAGGGGCTTATTTTCGGAATTTTACAGTAGTTTGTCATATGCACATACTTGGAATTTTCCAAGTAAACAGACAGATAACAGGCTTGTTAATTAGCAGTTTAGCCAAATACTGTCTTGAAATTGTCAAATCTTCCTCTTTCATGCCAATGTTATGCATGAGTAAAACAGACTGTCTAACATACCATACAAGAAATATGTCTCTTAGTCCTTGATGATCACCTTGTTCCATCACAGGTAGCCTAAACTCTCAGAGTCCACTGAACTTTGTTATGTAATCTTGGTGTTGTGATGGCATCGTTTTGAAATAGTAAGAATTTGCATGGAGGAAAAAAACAAATATGGCTTACCTTAAGTCTTTGTTGGTCTTTTTATGTTTTACAAATCCCTATATTTTCACTATTATGCAATGTTATCATGACACTCAGATTACCTTACAAGGTTCAATAGACTCAATTGAGCTTTGGCTACCTGTGGCTCCATAGAAACAGAATCTTTACTGGTCTGTTAAACCCGTGGCCAGAGTGTGGGTGATCCTGTAGCTGGACCACATAAATTCAAGCAGTGTAGCTTGGCGCCGTATTCATTACTCTTTCTTGACATCTGGATGTTCTTTAGTTAACGGTACACTGTTATAGTGAATCAGAATCAAGCCTGTTAGGATCAGAGATGTGCCCAACCACCATCTCATGGTCAAGGCCTCACCAAACAGCAAACAACCCAACAGAGCCTGCAAGAGATAATCCACCTTTAGCAACTCTGCTCTTATATGACTTAAGTTTAAACAACAGATTGGAACTATTTTATGATCTTTCAAGATAGAAAGCAACACTGCCAGAGTGCAATGACCACATGAAAGTAATATTGTTGATGGGTAAAAGTGAAGAACAGCTCCCCTGAAAGTCTGTCGGCCGACTGTCGGTATACTGTTGGCCAACTGTCGGCCAGTAGTATACCAACAGTTAACCGACAGTTGACCAACAGCAAACCGACACTTAACAACAAAGATCTCCAGAAGCGGTATGACAGCTTACTGAAAGACCACCAAAGACTTGCACAAGCCTTCCGAAATCAGGAAAAAGAAACGAAACTCCTTGGACAGCAGTTGGAGGAAAAGGAGAAAGAGCACGAAGAAGCAGTGAATGATGCCGAAGAGCTGGCCAACCTGGTTCGAACAAAATGTGAAGCCATAAAGACGCTGGAGAAAAGACTCATTGAGGCCAAAAAACTCATTGCAAGCTTAAAACAAGAGCTTCAGTCAGCAAGGAACAGTTCTTCAGTCAGAGAACCGCAGCATCCAGACCCACCACAACAGCAATCGACCCGCATCAGTAGCCACAGCCTCAGCAGCATACACTCCCGATGCGACAAAGTTCTACAAACGATGAAGGATAACAACTGCAGTATGGCCAATGCCTATCGCCTATCAGGTTGTCCCAGGAGCACCCTCCGAGATTTCATCGCGATAGCAGAGCTAAAAAAGGTGGTCTCAAGGGCATTTGAGATTGCGCTAGCAAAATATCAAGGAGAGTCAGTTGGAGAGCTAGAGCAAATGTGCAGGAAAAGCCTCAGGCGTTACATGCCGCTTATGAGCACAGTGCGCCGTGAGGGGCAACTAATTTAATTAAATATTTCACATGTGAAGTTACAAATTGCCATGGCAACCTTCCATAGGTCTCAGTGCCTAGATGGTAATGAAGTTGAATTTTGTAAAAAATTATGAAGATGTCAGGGCATTTAAAGACGCTTGAGAAAACCTAAACACACGAAAGAGCAAGTCTCGCTTATTTGTAAAAAAGTCAACAATCAACTGAATGTGATGATAAGATAACCCAAGCGTGTAAACACCTCCACCATGTTAAAATTGTATAAGGCCTTTGTTCTGCCACATTTTCAGTTAGTAAATTTGTTCCGTAGTATGGCACTTCTGTAGCTCTGGGAATATCGAAAAACTTGAGTCATTGCATTGAATAAGCCTGCACTGCGTGTAGTTTTTAGTGACAGGGAATCAACATACAGTCAGCTACTAGATAAAGGAGCAGCTACATCACTTTACAATCTAAGAGTATAAAATATGTTAATCATTATTCATAAATGTATGCATATCAATTTCTACCCTGCCAATACCAATAATTTAATCCTTTATTATTAGGATTTGGGCAAAACACGCGTGAAATTGAAAATTTGCTGGCACCGAAAATTTTCTTCTATGATTCAGTCACTTGAGTACATCTAATGACTGATACCACCAATATTTATTTTAGAAGTAATACTTTAAAAAGCTCCATAGAGGTACCAAAACAAAAGTTCTGAAAAACTGTTTAAAAGATAAATGGAACTTATAAATATTTTTGGAGTTAATAAATTAAGCAGATGCTTTTGTTTCATAAATTGAAGAAGTATATTTTCATATTATAAAAGAGAAATAAAAATTATATTCACTTGATTCATAAATTTCAATCTGAGTAGCCACTTCCTGTTGTTTTTGATTGCTTGGCTGGCTTTTCAAAAAATTCTGTCTTTCTTCTTGACCAGTTAAAGTCAACCCCCACTCTGTCCTTATTAAACTGTCCTTCACTTAAAGGATTCATAAAATTACAAACCTATCCCTGTCTAAGTTCTGATGGCTGGATTCCTCCTAATTTATATCATTAATAATGGTTGTCCAAATAACATAAGATTGCAGTACTTACAGTGCAGATAAAATTTGAGCCTGTATTTATCACTGTTGCTGTTGCTGAAGATGAAGAGCCTCTTAGAGACTTGACAAACAGTGTCCACATCAACGCATTGAAAAAGAACACCAGAAGAAAAGATAACACTCTTGAAATTATGACAATCTGAAAATAGTTAAAAGACAATTCCATATACAGGGATGTGCCACTGGAGTGTATGATTTTTACTCTCTCTGTCCTAAAAAAAAACGGGTATACAATTATGTCCTTATGGGTCCTTATGATTAACAGGGTATTGCCTGCATGATTGGTTTGACTTGCTTGATAAAATTTGTAATTGTCTGCACTACAAGTATACAAAAGCATTAATGACTATAACGTGAATTTGCTCTATTGCAATTGCCAATAAACGACTTTAAAACAAGACGGGGTGAATGTTGTCCTAAACAGGGTTTGTATTTTAGGATTTTGTGTCCTAAAAAAGCTCCGGGTTTCAAACCAGTATCCAAATACTGGTCGAGTACCCTCTCCCCCCCGGGATACCCACCCAGGATCCCCCCGTTCTTTTGTAACCAAACTATGACAGTTTAATACGCGGGCCGGTTCATTAGCTCCATCACCGACACTTTCGAAGTCAAAAGGACCGAACTTAACTAAACATATTCGCACCCAGATCATCTATAACACTAATTACGTTACTAAAGTAAGAATCAAAGCGGAGTAACTGACCGTTTCGCAGACTGATGAAAGCGAGGGACTCTCAGCCACTCTTTGGAGAAACAAATCGCACCAAAAATTCCTCTGAAGCTCAGGCGACATTGCTAATTTGGCACATGTTGAAGCAGTCGCTGCACAAAAGCCCGCAAAAACAGCATAAACAAACCCTATCATCGCTTAATATGTGTTTTGCGTTGAATCGACCAGGCGTTTAAATCTCTACCGAGAGAGATTGGGTAACAGTGTGGAAGAAATGAGATTTCCCATTTTCCCGTATTTCACGCGTTACTCCTCCACATTGACGTTCGTGCAAGAGGAACGCGTGACGAAGCCCTGAGAAGGTCGGCGTGGGAGGCTATGATTGTGCAAGCTATGCTGCATTTTGGATAGGTGTAAAGGTTGCTAATATAAGAGGGGGTAGGTTGTTTTGTTTTAATCACCTTTAGCCAAAGGGGTGGCAACTTTTCTAAGGGGAAGTTTATTTGAAGGGAGCCCTAATTCCAGCTTTTATGGTAGTCCCAGGCAAGGAGAAGAAGCACTCCCCTGGTTAGTGTGGGGTGCCTTCAAGGATCTTGAGCTCAAAATAATCAGAACTATTTGTTACTCATCTGTTTAAAAGGATTTCAGCAACAACCAAGAGCACCGTGCCATTTTTCAAGGGAGAGCTGCTTGGTGAGAACTCAAAAGTCACTTTTGAGACAAGTGCCAAAGGTGACAATGAGGGACACTGATATCTTAGATTACACCAGTGTATATGCCTCTGTAACAGCAACATAGGTGAGGAGACGAAAAGATGTTTTTTGGTGCAAAGTAAAAAAAGTTGGCCCATTTAGAACATTTATATAATGTAAGTGTCAAACTTAACACACTGCTCATCTTTGAATTGCATTCATCTAATGTTCTCGAGAGAAAAGAGCCTTAGCAATTAACATGAGAAAGTTTTTAACACATGAAGGAGCTGGTAATCTTCAAAGAAAAACTTCTTGACTAGTACTCTATAATAGTGACAGAATTTAACTGCTTGGCCAAATTTGTGCTTTCCTAGCTCATTCTTTGAGGGACAGCTGCAGTGCCAGGGTTCGTACCCTTTTCTGAACAAAAAATTCAAGGACTTTCAAGGACACATTTCCCATTTTTCAAGGACTCAATTCAGTACAAAAAGAGCCGATCATTTACGTTTCTGTGAAACTGCCCGTCTACCCCTTCCCTAAACCAACATAAACACTTAGTTCTTACTTAGGGCAAAATGTTGGCTTAGGGGAGTGGTAGGTGGGTAGTTTCACAGAAACGTAACATGATCCAAAAGAGCCTTCAGTCTATGTCTTTTTTAGTTCTTCCACAACATGAGCAATTTTATCCTGAAGGTCTTTCTGTGTTTGCTGAGTTGGATTAAGTGAGCACCAAAATTTTCAAGGACTTTCAAGGCCTTGAATTTTTTTATTTTTAAATTTAAGGACTTTCAAGGTGCATGCAAACCCTGCAGTGCCTTGAATTTTTATTTTTCAATTTTCAGTAAAAAAAAGGACTAGGAATCTAAAAGTTGATGTTAACTCTCACTGTAAAGGCCATTTAGAAGTTAGAATAAGGCCAAGATTAAAATTTTATAGATTTGGTACAAGTGAGTGAGCGACAATTCAGTGAAAATTTATTTTCAGACAAATGTATGCAAAAGATTATGGTTCCTACATATCAGGATTACAGTATATATATTATTAAATACCTAAAAAAGCTAAGTCATTGTTTCAGACAGGTTAAAATTCAGGTTGCAAGCGATAGGTCAACTAGTCTGTTGATGTCTTTGTTCAGCCAATCCTGTGTTATGTCATCAAGATGGTTGTCAAAGTCTATGAGACTCTGGTATGCTTTTCCATCAAGAAGATCTGTTGTAAGACTAAGGGTATCTTCTCCGCCATCAAGTAATCTGTTAAAAAAAAAAAACAAAGCGAAGAACAAAGGCTTAATATCTAGTTAAGAAGTTACTGCAATGAATAGAACTGAAGCCTGTTTTCTAATTTACGCAAGTAGTTTTCATCTTAACTGGTACTTACAAATCTTTATCACTCTGTTTCCACTTATTATCTTGGACTACATAGCACTAAAGATGAAAGACAAAACCATGTTGAAATAATTTTACAGTACCTGTTATCTACCTGACAGCTGCGTGCTACAGCTGTACTTGAGTCCATTTATGAAGAATTAAATTTAAAACAGTTGCTTATTGGAATCAAACAGTGCAACACCAAGCATTTTTATAGGTTTTCAATTGCTGGTTGAACAATAATTCAACCATTTTTGGTTCAAAGACAGAGGAAGCTATTGAATATGATTACTTAAGCAAAACCATAAGTAAATTGTCAAAAATAATACGTCACAAAAATCATCACAATTAAATGTTTGCTATCATGTACATGTAAGTAGACTCTACTTACTTTCAATTGCTTAAACTGGGTTTTAAGCTGGTTGTAAAAGGGTAATCAACCCAAAATGTTGTGAGTTAGTTAGTAAGAGAGGTTGTTCATTATGTGTGGGTTCAAATTATTAGCCTGCGAATACAGACCAATTTATGGTCATATCTTCACTCCACCCAAAAAGTAGGAGAGAGATGACGACCAGAGATACGTCTGCATTTGCAGGCTAGGGTACAATACACAAGAAATAATCAGTAAGTCAATATGGGGGAGTGCCCAAGACAAATTAAATAGCAATGATTCTTTAACTAACACTACTATCAATACCTTACAAGCTATTTCTTCACATGGTACTGACAGCTTAGTATTATCAACCTGTTAAAATAGATAACAAATTCTTTCTAGAACTTCTCAAATAAGACATAAAAAGTTAACTATTTTGTTTATATTTTGGTTAAGAAATCAATACTAATCAAACATTCAAACAAACAATAACTATGATATTTACATGTATAATAACTACCATTGCAACCTAAAAGCATTACACTATAGAAAATATTGAAAAAAAACTGACTTACCATTAGAATGAATGCATTGTTAAACTGGTCACATATTTTCTCAGCAATTTTGTAACAGATTAAATTGGGACTGTAGAAGTAATGAAGATTCGGGCATAAATCAATGATGAACATTTTTTTTTTAAGAATACAATGAGAATATAATCATCAAAATGAACAAAATGTTGAGAAAAAAGTCAGTATCAGAGGTTTGAAAGATCTTGATTTCACTGTAATGCAAAGATACATGGCACGTAAATATGATATCAAAATAATACTTTTACCATACCTACTGTCATTAATGTGCTCATTAGCTTGGTAGTAGCCAACAATCTGTAAGCCACTTTCTTTACAGTAGATATCAACCTAAGAAAAGAAATCAATGGTTTACCATGAATTAGAGCAGTGGAAGTGAGCGCAAGATATTTTTTTCAAATGAACCAAAAAAACTGGGTCACAAGATCCAGGGTCGAAAGCTTTGTTCACACCGGACTGGATGAATTCTGAACTGGCTGAAAAATTTGACCAACCACTTTGTTTACATGGAACCTTTCAATATTTTTGCTCTATTCATTCAAACTTTCATTGGCTAGACATCTAAATTTTTGTACGGTTTACTTTAAGGTGGTTCCTTGTAATTATGTGGTCATATTAAATGGTTTCCGAGAAAAGAATATGACTCAGTGCTTTTAGGCTTGGCCAAAATAATGTGCTCATAATGGTGTGAATAATCATACAGACTGTCCAACCATCCCAGTTTCGTCTGGATTCTTCTTATTTTGCTTGAAAATCATCAATCCTGACCGACATACAATTGGGACAGGGAAAATCCTGATTTTGACTGTTTTGATTTTTCCAATGAATTCTTATGACATTTATGACATTTATACAAGAACACATCAACACATTAACAGATTATACTTAACTGAAACTGATATGTAGAAAACTTTAAAAACGATACAAAATATATAATAAAATTGAGTCAAGTTTGCCATGCAAATATAAATAAGCATAAAAATGACAATCAATTTAGCGAACATTTTAGTCAAAAATTGTCCTCTGAAAACAATGGTAGTAGTAATGGCATTTCAGAGGATCAAAATTTCAAATTTTTCTGGGGGAGCATGCCCCCAGATCTACCAATAGTGGGCTTTCCCCTTCGGCATTCGCCTGATACCTTGGTTATAAAAATATCCCGATTTTACATAGCCAAAAGTTTGGACAGTCTGGTCATATAAATAAGGTTGTTGTATGGGGAGCAGGACTGGGTCTGCTGTACAACCTGAAAATTACAGTCATTTACCCATTTTACGGTGTTGAGTGTTAAAACAGCTGCATAATGATTCCCCCAAATTTTATCATTCAAGTGCCTGAAATAAGCGTAACAGAGCCAAACACATAAGAGCTAGGTGTTAATGAAGTACGTCCATCTAGACCCTCTACTAAAAACCATTGTGTGAGCACAAGCAGAAAATAAAAATGTGCTTAGTACATGGTGGAAAGAAAAGCAGACAGGGTCGTGTCCTGGGATCCGGTAAAATCGAGGAAAAGAATGATTTCAAAGTGAACCTGACCTCTCTGTTCTGTCTCTTTTCTAGAACAATAAAGAGAGTCTCCTTAGTTTACCAGTCCGAGGTCGAGTTCAGATTAAACTACGGAGCTAGCTTTTACTTAAGCTTTAATTTAAAGCTTTTAAAAGTATCAGTCTGTTGAACTGCCTAAAAGTCAACTTCCGCATCAGCGGACCTCGCTAAACATTAGCAAGAATCCTTAAATGGACGTTTATCTTACCCTTGCTAAGGCAACTTCTAACATCGGAGCCAAACCAAGGCAAATATGAAACAAAGGAACGGCATCTAAAACATACACTTCACCATCTTGAAGGGTTTCGTCTCCTAACAGGACTCCATTCACGGCCTTGTGTGGGTATTTCGAGGTATGTAAGAGGACCTTGGCATATGCTCTCGGTGATATATGAAATTTCATTGTCCTAGAGTTATTTCACGGCTCGAAATCATAATCAAGAAAAACCAAATTTCATCTCACAAATCTGTCCGCCATGATGATTCATGCATGGCCTTGTGGTGCTTGGTAGCCGCGCCGCCGCTTTTCGGATATCATTAAATCATTATTAAACGGATCAATAATAACTTTTCACGGGAGTGCTGACTGATTTTTCAGTGGAACACAATTTTCAACTTCGTTTGCAGTGACAACAAGCTTTGCTTTGTTTATTTGTTTGTTTTTTAATCATTATTTTTATTCTGTTATGTGCTCCATAGGCACAAAAAAATTTGAGATTAAACAAGCTTGACTTTCTTTTTCTCCGTTTAGTACCGCATTTTTGACAGGCTTTTCATAGCAGATGACATTCCTTAGACATGGAATGTATTCTATGCACCCTTTTATAACCCACATTTAGTTTATTCCCATTTCATAACCGGTTTAATGTCGCCTGTTAGGTTGAAAATTAATAACCCCGGGCTGGAGTAGTCTCTTGTTTATATTTGGTCTAAACGGGTATGTGGCATTGAACATGGTACGATTTCCAGGGTTTGCGTTCTTAAACAGGGTATACAATCTTCGCTATTTAGCGTCTTGAACAGGGGGTCTTTGGGGACAAGAAGCCTTTCAATTTGGAGAGTAAGGGTTGACCTCGCAGTTTGAAAAACTGCTTAATTTCATATGCGAAACGAATGAAATATGGTCTCTTGACAGGGTAGCGAAATGAACGGTTTTTTTCTTAAACAGGGGCAATGTTTGAAGGCCTCGGCGGCACAACTCTACACAAACTCCTCTCGAGTGCCTCCCGGGTAAGTCTAACCACAAAGGGAATTACCCATCACTGTGAATTTGAGGCAAAAAGCATAAAGAAATGTAACGGATAGTTTTAAGGGCGTGTGTGTGGTCATAGTGGAGAAGTAGAAGAACTGCAACTTTTTAAAACTTTATGTTACAGTTAGAATCGTCAGAGTGAAATAAGAATGTATTTTCTGGACGCTGTTAAATTTTATTTCAGTAGTTGTTTTTCAAAAACTGATCATTTACGCAGCTTGCCTTGAGAGCTTCGCAACACCACGGGGCAGGAGGAGGGAGAAACAGGAGATCCTCGGCAAAACCATTAGTTCCTCAGCAGGGGTCTGATACTATTCGGATATCCAAGAGGTTAACTTCGGGAGGGACAGAACGACTTCTAGTCTCCCTCGCAGCCGTTTTTAGTATCGTCACGCAAAAATGGCTGCGAGGGAGACTTCATAACTTCAGACCGTGCTTGAAAACTTTCATAGCACCATTCCCCTCCGACTTGACTGACTACTCCTGGGTCTCCAAGGGTGACCCATCCCTTAAGATTACTACTAGTAATTCTCCTAAGAGGTTATAGTCATTCTTTATTGCATTCGTTCAGAGACAAATTATTTTCCACAGATACTTCCACGCATTTTTTAAAGATAATGAAAACTTGAAACTGGCAAACAAAAATACCTCACAATAAATTTGACAAAAGAAGGAATTATTGCAATTCTTAATTAAATGTCACCTGTAAATACAGCTCTCATAAGTGCATTCAAAGTTGTGTGCAAACTGCTGATAATGGAAAACTATATCCACAGGCTGACCTGGGAACACCTCAGCATTTAACATTTTTCAGGCTGTGTACTCTTTGACTGCAATACTTTATCAATTTCTTAGCCATATAATACAATGCATTAATATTTCACAGTCTGTATTAGGAAAAGCTGATGGGATGAACATGTTCCAACTAAATTTTTACTACTTAGAGCAGTTTGAATCTCTTCAAACATACTATAAGTGTTAGTGAAGTGTATATATTAAAAATGTCTTCCTATAACTGACAACAAGACTTGCTAACACTAGCAGAGTACCCTATGAAGGTGTTATGAACTCATTGGATTGTTACTTAAGTTGTCTGATGTTGACAGTAAAACTCGGATTCACACTTAATCAGGCTTTGCAAAATTAGGATCAGTGCAGGTTTTTTTTCAGTACAAATCTTTCACTCTTTCAACATTTCCTCACTTAGAGGATTTTTGAGGAAACACTGATCAAGCTACTGATCTCCCAGTAAACAATGACACCCATAAATATTTTGGCAATATAAGGAAAAATTGCCTTGCAAGCTGTGAGACTGGTTCATGTGCAATGAAGGCATTTTGTGCAGTTTTTGAATTCACCCACATGAAACAGAAAAAAAACACAACAATGTACAAAACAAAATGCACCAGACGATGCTTGGTGTTGACTTGTGATAAACTTAATGATCATGATTATTCGAAAGGCAGCCATAGAATTAACAATGTGGGTGTTGCAGTTTACTAGAAGAACATATAAGCTGCTTTGTCAATGCAAAAATAAATCCATAATGACACTTAATAATAACAGCAGCTCTACTGGCTTGAATCCTGGAGCTACTCTTAACTGGCTTCTGAAACTTCACCTTACTGAAAATCTGCTAGTTAACCATACCAAAGTTATTCCTCAGACAATTTTATCTCAGTTTGCATTGATTATAATAACAAAGTTCTTCCAAAAGAACTTTAAGAGATTGAAAGGTTTTTCTTGAAGATGCAAGTTGAAAATAAATTGGGAAATTATTTCACAGCGAGACCCAACTGCCTAACAGCAGCCTCCACTGTCTTGTGCTCGGCTACCTCCCAGGGGAACTGATGGGTTCGATGGTGAGTGTTGAGGGCCAATCTTGATTCCATTAGCCTAAAATATGGAAATCAAAAGCAGAGTTACAATTATTTCCCTTAGTTCTTTAAGTTAAAAACCCTGAATGCAATTTCAGAAGGCACTGATGTCCATTTATCCCCAGTGTTCACTAACACCCAGATGAGTGATTCCTTAGGCAAGAAACTTTGTCCCACCCTCTGTAGTCTCCATTTAAGCATTTGCACATCACGGGTATTAGGAAACTTAAGCAACGACGATGGCAAGGTCAATGAGAACAGCAAAAAAAACAATAGGGAAAAAGATTGGCAGAGTAACAACCCCGTACATGTATCACGCTTTTTTGTACACCTCTCTTGCCATCACTTCTTAACTACTATGTGAAAATGCCTAATTTTACATTTTGTGGAGGACATGAACACAAGGCAACAACTTTCTTTCTCCTTTAGGTTTGAAGCAGCACAAATTCATTTTTTAAGTGACATTTTTGTAGCTGTCGCCATCACTGTAGCTCCCTAATGGCAACAGAATACACGCTGTACTAAGCACTACCCAGCAATCTCTTGCCAGCGAACTGGGCAAAGTAGACGTTCAGTTCTAAAAGCACTGTTTGTTGGCTGAGGTGAGGGGTCAATGAAAAATATAGTAGTTCCATCGTTAAAATACATGCATTTTACCACAAAAACAATCCACCCCTTGCTTTGATGACAAGCCATTTGGAATTATTGATAATTCGTTGAGTCACTCCACTGGCCTTAAGTTTTTACTGTGTACAAACATCATTCATTCTTGCAGTATCTAATTATGCCCAGTTATAGAGCGATTTAAATCACGTGACCAACATCTATCAACCCTCCAAGTTGCAACCATTTTAGTCGCCATGGCGCCTAAAATTTTGGAACTGGCGACTTGATTTGGAGAATAGTCGCCAAGCTGGGGACCGTGAAGAATAGGTTCGTGTTGTGGCATATAGAAACAGAAATGGTAATCACTTCTACTGAAATATGAAGAACATTTATTCTAGCTGATTTGAATTCCATTATTTTTTTTACTTTTCCGTTGAAAACATGCTAAATTGAAAACTTAAAAAAGTCTCAGAGCTAAGCGTTTTAAAAATGAACATCAATGAAACTTGACTTGCATTCGTTCGCCAAATCGCCTTCAGTCTGTTGCCTTGCACGTGACATTTTAACTTTTGACACGTGACAAATGGCACGCAATCGAAGCGCCTTGCTTGTTGACCCATCCCTTAAGATTACTACTAGTAATTCTCCTAAGAGGTTATAGTCATTCTTTATTGCATTCGTTCAGAGACAAATTATTTTCCACAGATACTTCCACGCATTTTTTAAAGATAATGAAAACTTGAAACTGGCAAACAAAAATACCTCACAATAAATTTGACAAAAGAAGGAATTATTGCAATTCTTAATTAAATGTCACCTGTAAATACAGCTCTCATAAGTGCATTCAAAGTTGTGTGCAAACTGCTGATAATGGAAAACTATATCCACAGGCTGACCTGGGAACACCTCAGCATTTAACATTTTTCAGGCTGTGTACTCTTTGACTGCAATACTTTATCAATTTCTTAGCCATATAATACAATGCATTAATATTTCACAGTCTGTATTAGGAAAAGCTGATGGGATGAACATGTTCCAACTAAATTTTTACTACTTAGAGCAGTTTGAATCTCTTCAAACATACTATAAGTGTTAGTGAAGTGTATATATTAAAAATGTCTTCCTATAACTGACAACAAGACTTGCTAACACTAGCAGAGTACCCTATGAAGGTGTTATGAACTCATTGGATTGTTACTTAAGTTGTCTGATGTTGACAGTAAAACTCGGATTCACACTTAATCAGGCTTTGCAAAATTAGGATCAGTGCAGGTTTTTTTTCAGTACAAATCTTTCACTCTTTCAACATTTCCTCACTTAGAGGATTTTTGAGGAAACACTGATCAAGCTACTGATCTCCCAGTAAACAATGACACCCATAAATATTTTGGCAATATAAGGAAAAATTGCCTTGCAAGCTGTGAGACTGGTTCATGTGCAATGAAGGCATTTTGTGCAGTTTTTGAATTCACCCACATGAAACAGAAAAAAAACACAACAATGTACAAAACAAAATGCACCAGACGATGCTTGGTGTTGACTTGTGATAAACTTAATGATCATGATTATTCGAAAGGCAGCCATAGAATTAACAATGTGGGTGTTGCAGTTTACTAGAAGAACATATAAGCTGCTTTGTCAATGCAAAAATAAATCCATAATGACACTTAATAATAACAGCAGCTCTACTGGCTTGAATCCTGGAGGTACTCTTAACTGGCTTCTGAAACTTCACCTTACTGAAAATCTGCTAGTTAACCATACCAAAGTTATTCCTCAGACAATTTTATCTCAGTTTGCATTGATTATAATAACAAAGCTCTTCCAAAAGAACTTTAAGAGATTGAAAGGTTTTTCTTGAAGATGCAAGTTGAAAATAAATTGGGAAATTATTTCACAGCGAGACCCAACTGCCTAACAGCAGCCTCCACTGTCTTGTGCTCGGCTACCTCCCAGGGGAACTGATGGGTTCGATGGTGAGTGTTGAGGGCCAATCTTGATTCCATTAGCCTAAAATATGGAAATCAAAAGCAGAGTTACAATTATTTCCCTTAGTTCTTTAAGTTAAAAACCCTGAATGCAATTTCAGAAGGCACTGATGTCCATTTATCCCCAGTGTTCACTAACACCCAGATGAGTGATTCCTTAGGCAAGAAACTTTGTCCCACCCTCTGTAGTCTCCATTTAAGCATTTGCACATCACGGGTATTAGGAAACTTAAGCAACGACGATGGCAAGGTCAATGAGAACAGCAAAAAAAACAATAGGGAAAAAGATTGGCAGAGTAACAACCCCGTACATGTATCACGCTTTTTTGTACACCTCTCTTGCCATCACTTCTTAACTACTATGTGAAAATGCCTAATTTTACATTTTGTGGAGGACATGAACACAAGGCAACAACTTTCTTTCTCCTTTAGGTTTGAAGCAGCACAAATTCATTTTTTAAGTGACATTTTTGTAGCTGTCGCCATCACTGTAGCTCCCTAATGGCAACAGAATACACGCTGTACTAAGCACTACCCAGCAATCTCTTGCCAGCGAACTGGGCAAAGTAGACGTTCAGTTCTAAAAGCACTGTTTGTTGGCTGAGGTGAGGGGTCAATGAAAAATATAGTAGTTCCATCGTTAAAATACATGCATTTTACCACAAAAACAATCCACCCCTTGCTTTGATGACAAGCCATTTGGAATTATTGATAATTCGTTGAGTCACTCCACTGGCCTTAAGTTTTTACTGTGTACAAACATCATTCATTCTTGCAGTATCTAATTATGCCCAGTTATAGAGCGATTTAAATCACGTGACCAACATCTATCAACCCTCCAAGTTGCAACCATTTTAGTCGCCATGGCGCCTAAAATTTTGGAACTGGCGACTTGATTTGGAGAATAGTCGCCAAGCTGGGGACCGTGAAGAATAGGTTCGTGTTGTGGCATATAGAAACAGAAATGGTAATCACTTCTACTGAAATATGAAGAACATTTATTCTAGCTGATTTGAATTCCATTATTTTTTTTACTTTTCCGTTGAAAACATGCTAAATTGAAAACTTAAAAAAGTCTCAGAGCTAAGCGTTTTAAAAATGAACATCAATGAAACTTGACTTGCATTCGTTCGCCAAATCGCCTTCAGTCTGTTGCCTTGCACGTGACATTTTAACTTTTGACACGTGACAAATGGCACGCAATCGAAGCGCCTTGCTTGTTGACAGTGACGATTTCTTCGATATCTTAGGAATGCTTGTCAAGCCAAGTTCTGTGGTTTTTTAACTGGACTACATATTATAAATATTTTTGAATCAATACTGAAACAATCTAATAACATGAAGAGGGAAAGCTAAATTGGTGCAAATTCAACACAGAACATTATGTGATAACCGTAACATGTGAACCGTGCTGCGAGTTGAATCGTGGTTTTGTAAACAAAAGCGATAAATGTAAGCGAAACTAAGACCTGGTTCAGACGCCGCACTTTTCATGTGCCGAACCTAACTGAATAAGTTCGACTTTGGAGCGACACTGGCACGACATCTGATTCAGACGGCGTACCGTGTGTCGAACCTAAGTTAAGTTCGACAAAAGTTCGACAGACTCTATTGAACTTAACGCTTTTGCTGCACCAAACTAAAACTGCCGTACCAAATTGATTCAGACGCCGCTCTTTTGCCGTACTTAATTCATCAGTTAGGTTCGGCACATGAGTGAAGCGGCGTCTGAACTGGGCCTAAACATCGCAAAACTGACAGCTTATGGTTGTTGCAAAAAATAGGTTTTTTTTAAACATCTGTAGCGATGATAAAGGAAAAAGAAAATTTATTATTTCGTAAGCGGCATTTTTGTTTGGGTTCCTTTCAATTGATTGGGAAAAACATTTTTTCCCAGTACAACTCGTTGCGAAACTTTCAGGTGCGCGATGTTATCTCTATAAAGCAATGATTTGATTTAGAAAACTTGTTGATCTTCCTATACTCGCCCGCCTTTTTCAGGCTTTTGCGATGTCAAGCGATATTAAAAACGACCTTTTAAATCTCCAAAAATATTTGATAGTTAGGGAAACAAGTTCATCATCAACAAAAGTCGCAAAAGAAATGCGAAACAAATATCAGAAAAAAAAATAGGTCACCTATCAAGTTGCGACTGGGAAATTTTGAACACATTAACAGAGGATGAGTTAAGTTCTGCTCTCATATACCAACTGGGGATTATACAGAAGGATTGAAGGTCCTAAAGACAACTGGAAATGGTAATTGTCTTCACAATTCCGTTTCAGTATTGATTCAAGGAGATGAATCTGCAAACCTTATTCTCAGACTATCAGTAACTAATGCCTTGCACAATAAACGAGTAATTTACAGACAGTGCTGCATTTTAAGTTAAACTTGTTAACTGCTTTTGTTAATGACAATTTTGATATGTTAATATATTAATATAATTTGGCGCCTAAAAATTTCCCCTGGCGACTAAACCCAAAGAGCTGATCGCCAAAAGGCCACTGAACAAAAATTTTAACTTTGAGGGTTGTCTATGTAAGTTTATTGGAACAAAAGAAAGCGTTTGCATAAGAAAAGAATCCGACGCTCACAGGATTGTCTTAGTACACCAACATGGCCACCGTTTCATTGTTTTGGAACACCAATATGGCTGCCATAATGTCATGTAAAAACACTCTATATAATATACCAGTTTTGTTTGGAAATGATGCACTAGTTTTAAGAGATTTTTAAGAATTTTTTTCTATTTCATCAAAAATAAATAGAAATAAAAATAGAACCATACGCACCTCATTGTTGATATCAAATACACCTTCCTGAATTTTCTGGTAAATTTACTTAGCTGTGTTGATGAAAGCCTACAAGTCAAAAGCAACAGTTGAGATAATGATCAAAAGCAATATTGAAATCTACCTTACTTAAAAAACCACCACTGAAAGTTCCTTCTAAATAATACTTGCCACATGTACTGAGTATTAACATTGACTGTAATAATGTTGAATATTATTCTTGGATTTACTTGTTATTGAAAGGCAGTAAATTATCTTGTCAAATAGTCAAGTTATGAACTGAAACATTCTTACCTCTTCGACATTTGCAGCAGTCTTTGCAGAAGTTTCCATAAAAATAAGGCCATGTTCCCTAGCAAAAGCTTCCCCCTGTACAAATAAAGAACAATAATATTATTTGAGCAAAACTTACCACAAGAATGAGATAAATTATCAAGAAATTTACTTTAAGTTCTTTTTGGCATGCTGACGGCCAAGGCCTAGACATGCTAAAGTGCACAAATGCTGTAAAAAAACAGCTAATAAGCCTAAATAATAGTAAATTTAGGCACAATCACACTGCTAGATAGTTCAGTTTACATAGAGAATCCTTACCTCTTCTTTCCTAACATCTCGGCGTGCCTCTAGATCACTGTGTGCCAAACAAAAAAGGAATTAATAACAGATAATAATGATAATATAAAAGTACATGTTGTGGGTCAAATAAAATTCAGTTATATGGTTTCAACCTAGTTTGATTTTCAGTTTCCTTTCCTTTATTCATGATTATGAATAATTAGGGTAAGAGACAACAGAAATTGAGAACCAACAAGGGTTTTAATCGGAATTTCATCCTGAGCTATAACATGCACATAACAAAATTGAAAGCTACTAGGTAAGGCCTTTTTTTAGAGAAATGAAGGGGTACAGTAATATTGTTCTCACCTCTTGTTTCCAATCAACATGATGACCATATTTGAACTAGAATGTTGTCTAGCATCCTCAAGCCAAGTCGTCAGATGGTTGAATGTGTCTCTTCTGCGAGGAGAAAGAGAAGCACCCATAAAAATAAAACCAGGGACATGAAAACTGGCTATCATCATTCATTAAAGAAATGTCCTTGTGTAATAAGTTTCAACCAACAGCCTTAAACAATAAATTAGAATCATGCATTGCACTTGGGGAAACATTCAGGAGGGTCACTAGAGGTTTTAGGAATAGCGATACAATGTTCTGGTGAAATTTGCTTTTTACATGAAATACAAATGAACAAAATACTGAAGAATCAGATCCTTCAGTTTTTTTAAAAATTTAGTGTCCACATATTAATTATTGGTTCAAAAAAAGTGCGTCTGAGAATTTTTTATCCGAAAACTGGATAGTAGAGCGAGAATAAGTATGTTCATTGAATTTGTACGCGGATTAATAATAATATTTTAACATGACTACTGGCAGTTACAGTGTATGCTACTCACCGTGTGATGTCATAAACTAACAAAGCCCCTGCAGCACCACGGTAGTAAGATCGTGTGATAGAACGAAAAGACTCCTGGCCAGCCTACAAATACAACAATCATTCATACAAATTTCATAAAAAGAAAGAAATAGTATTATTTTACTGAACCACTCTATTAAGGTTGAATGCTTTAAACTTAAGGCAAGCTCCAATTCTCTGCCTGGCAGTGGTCACTGTCTTGCAGTCAGATAAGTCACAGATATTTTAATTTAATCATACCACAATTACCCTTGTTTAGATCTACTGTCATAAACAAAAGAGAAAGGAAAATAACAAGATTTGAATCAAGGGACAAAATAGAACCGCAACACAGAAAGACTTAAGTTTGGTTGGGGTCAGCAACCAACTACTGATGTCTGTCTCAGGAAGGTCAGCCCTTCTTTGAAGTTTTTGCTAAAGAGAGATTACTATTATCTTTACATTATAACCCATGTTCAACAGTGCACTTTAGGATTAATGCTAGTCCAACCCATTAAGTTTCAACCATTTTGGTCACCATGGCACCTAAAATTTTGGAGCTGGCGACTTGATTTGTTGGACGCGATCCATTCAACCAAAATTCCAACCGGTCCGACCGGGAAAAGAGGACCACCTCAAAAGGTGGACCCGTTTTTTCGAAACTTTTCCGGTTGGACCGAACTGATCCAATGAGTTTTGGACCGAAATTTCTGGAAAGGTTGGTTGAATGGATCGCGCCCGTTAAAAAGTCTCCCTAACCCAAAAGAGTTGGTTGTCAAATGGTGACTGAGTAAAAAATTTAACTTGGAGGGTTGTAGTCACACACATACCCACAGATGTTATGAAAAATGATAAAATCTATATTTTCAGCAGTATAAACTGCTTTGTAGCAGGAGTAATTCATAAGATGGTGGTAATAAAATCCAGTACTAAAATATTTATCAATCCTTTGATTTTTCACATAAAGGAATCCCTGACTTTTAGAACATCCCGACAAAGTAAAACAAAAAAGAGCTAAAAATCAAATTAAAATTAATTTCCATTTACCAGATAGGAAATGTTTGTCTCCATATGTTAGCTATACAAACAAAATGATTTCAGTAGGTACAGAGGTTCAATTAAAATCTATTTTTCAGTTTTCTTCCTTTTTATTTTTGTGATAATTATAAAATGAAAGGAAATATAAATTGACACAAGGGTTAATTGAGCTTCATCGTGTACAAACATGATCTCTTGTCAGGAAAACATTGTAATATAATGACTCTGACAAGAATGATGATCAATGTGCAAACAACAAAATTAATATAAATTACAGTAATTCACTGTATCTAAATCAACGAGAACCACAGTTATTAAATTTGTGACAAAACCAACATTTACCAAAAAGAAATCTTCCTATAAGCAAACTTTCAAAATTTTTAAAAGATAGTATTTAATCTATTTAATCAATATTTCACTTTTTATATTGGCTTGCATAAGATATGATAAAGATTTCGGATATTCTCTATTAATCACCTCTGATATACATCAATAATTTTATTGACATGTTTTCTCAGAGGCAAACTAACAAGAGGAGCTTTAAATATGTTTGATAATTACGACAACTATTCAAACAAAATACAGCTGAAACTGTTTTGACTGGGCACCTGTATCTTACATCAGTTAACTCCATTTTGTTCAATTTTGATCATTTTCCATTTAGTGTGGCTTTCAACAATCAATAGCCATTTTATTGAACACAGATATAGCGAATTTAACTTAACTGAATTTCATATTCCATTTTTGCGTGTTGATAATTTTAGTATTTTTTAAACATTTAAGATTAGCTTTCGTTCAAGGATGTCACTTAGTAGAATCTACAACTCGAAGGAATTTCAGCTCACCGTATCCCAGATTTGCAGCTTGATCTGCTTTCCATCAATCGTGATCATTCTAGCTCCAAATTCAACACCTTAATGAAGTAAAAATATAAATTTATTCCTACGCAGTTTAATACAAACACAAAGAAAAGTAAAGATTTACCTTCCCCTGAATCAATAAACCTCTACACTACTGACGCCCGGCACAAAATATGTTAGAAGTGAACTTCTTTTCAAAGCAAACTTACCTATTGTGAGGTCATGTACAGGTTGGAAACGTTTATCTGTAAACTGCAGTAAAAGGCATGATTTTCCAACGCCTAGATCAACGTGAAAAAAAAAACAAAGGGGTCAAAACAGGGAACAAATGATCTTGAAGGCCACATTGCGATCAATGGCGTCCATTTTGATCTATAAAATGGATCCTATTTTCTTGGCTTTTACTGAGAAATAACGTTCCAAAAAAGCAACGCCGACCTATGTTGACATCTTACTAACCTGTATCTCCTATAATAATGTACTTAAAAAGATATGCGTAAGACATTTTAACGATTGAATCTCGATTTTTCTTCCTTTCTCTTTCAATGTTGTGATGTCATTCCTAACTTATTCATGAGAAATTGAACATACGCATGCGCTCTGACGTCACCCGTGAAAGCCACGTTGTCTGTTCGACCAGTCCCTGACTCCATGCAACCCATATTGTTTCCCGATTTCGTTAAGGCCCTGCACCATTAAATCTAAGGGTTTACTCTATTTAAGCCAAAATTACAAAAAAAAAATTTTCCCGGCATTTTACCCTAGTTAAATCCTTTTTTAACATTTGTTGTTTTTCTTTTCAGAGCAGGATCACTATATGACCCTACATATACACAGGAGAATAAAACAAAACTGAATGCAGGGCTGGCACTACGGCAAAGGGTTGATTTATTATAGGCCAATATTTCGGCTAACAAAATTAGCCTTCCCCAGGGCCAGAGCTATGCCGAGAGAAAATATCCTTTAACGGTTCCTAAAATTTAAATTTAAAGTGGTTAATAATTAACTACAACTATAAATACTGGGTAGAATAATATACAGGTAAACAATAAATTAACCACTTATGTAAATTTTAAATTTAAATTTTAGGAGCCGTTAAAAGATATTTCCTCTCGGTATAGCTCTGGCCCTGAGGAAGGCTAATTTTGTTAGCCGAAATATTGGCCTCAGCCCTTTGCCGTAGTGCCAGCCATGCATTCAGTTTTGTTTTATTTTACACTTTAAGTGACGTCTGGCTACAGCATCTCTTTGATTAGAGATCCAGCAAGAGGAACCATAGTCTGCTACACAGCCGTTTTTAGTGTCGTCACGCAACGCTGTGGGGAGGAGCATTGCGTGACGACACTAAAAACGGCTGTGTAGCAGACTAGAGGAACCAGTCAGTTACATTTACGTGTTGCGTGGACCTCTGCATTCAAACAGTTTTTCCTCTACAGGAGCCTATACGCTCCTGCCCTAAATAATTTTTATCATTTTTTTCTGCTTTTTTTTAGGAGGAGATTAATTAATTGGCTCCCAAGCAAAACGTCAAAGGAATATGCTCCTGGTAACCAAAAAGTTTGAAGTATTTGACGCAAACATTGGCCCAATTCAGATACCTAATGAATAGAAGAGTTTCTCTAAAGAAGACTGGGGTTGCGACGGTGGGAAAATGATCATGACAGAAATGTGATTTTATATTATCTGAGGCTCCTTTTCCTCAGAAAACTGCAAGAATCGTTTACATAAGAAACAAAAA